TTAATCAATTCTGAAACACAAACTAAGCATCTTAAAACGGTACTGATAAAATTATTAGATGAATTACTGATTAGGATAATGATAATTATAAAAGTAATAATAACACCGAACAAGTGAATAAACAAACCGCTTTCGTGTATGCGTTTTAACTGATTTAGTGGTCTGCGATTTGAGCGGTTCATTGATGAGTTCACCAAATGTATTCACCCAATCATCAAATTCAATCGAATGACCTCGATTCTCACTAAATCTGAAATTTTTGCGTCACAAAATTACTACACAACGTCATTTTTCGCCAAAATTCGATTTTACTCGAATCAATCAGAAACAATGATCAATTTCGAGAAATACATTCCACCACTTTTCTATAGAGAAAAAGAACCTTTTAATATTGAGCGATGCAAGTGAAGGCAATAAAGGCAGAGCTGTATTGCTCAGACGTTTACACAATGGACACAAATATTCATTTGCCTCTACATCGATCATACGCTGATTCAGTTGTGCTTGTTGACGACGACCACGATCGCGAGATTTCAACAAATCGCAATACCTTAAAAAACGATATTCACACGAATATGAGAGCATTGAAAATAGTGAGGTTAATGACAAACGATTAGTTATAAAAATTAATTGAAACATCTTCAAATTGTTCCATCAACAATCACAATAACGCTAATGGTAAATAATCTACAATAAAACATGAATTCACAATGAGATCCACTGAAAAAGTAATACTCACTGAACGTAGCAATCAAAATGCATTGTATGTCCACACGTGGTCGCACCAATACCAAACGGTAAACTCGACGCTACAAGTAAATCATTCGGTGCGCGTATTTTTGAATGACGTTGTCTGAAGAGACACGATCTGAAACAACGATTATAAACGTGGCTGAATGGAACCAAACTGCAATCGACGCCATTCAAATAAAACACCAAATTCAACAATGTCAATAACTGAACGCCCGATAAAACTTTGCGACGTCCAATATTCAAGCAAATCATCAGATGTTTCGGGTTGAATATAGAAAACAAACGGATGAAAAGCGAAACTGAAAGAAGAAAAAACGACTTACTGTTGTTGATAGGCAACACAAACAAGAGCACGACCGCTGAATTTGACCTCCTCGGTCTCTTGACACAAAATACATGTCACTCGACGTGATGACACTGCATCAACCACACATCGCGTTGCCCCTAAACACACCGGGAATCCGCTGTCATCCGGTAATACACTGAAATTCCGTACACGACCTTATCATCGAATTATTTGTAGCAGNTATTTTCTTTCGCAAAACATAGCGATTATAATGATTATCATCATCACAGCTGAACAATCATCTGGAAAATTGTGCACACTTCAGTTGCAATTATGTTAAATGAAACAATGTGCAAACAACTTAATTCTATTACAAATGTTAACGTATTATTAAGGCTAGGCGTAAACTGAATTCTAGACATTAATCGAAGGCTGCTTTTGGAACATTTCGAACTTCTTAGTTTTCGTCACTAACTCAACTGAAGAGGAATAAAATTTGCAGTGGATTCAAACTGAGAAACGAAACCAAAAGAATGTTCTACCCAATCGGTTCGTCGTCTTCATCAGCCACTCTTCCCGCATTCATTTGCTCTTCATCTTTTTTTTGTGCTTCCAACAAATCTTTATTTTGGGTGACGAAATTCTTTTGCATTCGATTCATCTGAATTGAAGATTGCAAAAAAATGCACTCGAAAACCGTCAACTGCTATTCAGTGATAAACTATTTATCGAATCTATCATTATCTCGATGGAATCACTACATCCATCGATCATTCACATCCAAACAGAATATGTAAACCCTTAAAACCAAATTTGCGACCTTGTTCTTATGACTAAACCAACTCAAACTTCAAATACCTGTTCCATTGCTTGCTTTCTCATTTTAGCAGCAATTGCTGCACGTTTAGCTTGTCGATCTGAATCCTTCGAATCAATTTCTTTCTTCTTGGCGGCTGTACTCATGCCTGACCATGTAGCTTTCAGATCTTTGTAACGCTGAAACGCATGCACGTAATCATAACCAACTTTACAATCAGCGAACCCCATCACAATATTCAAAAAATTATTGATGTGCTATAAGTATATGATATATCTCATACAAAACCAATTTTTGTCCACCATT